AACTTCTGTCAGAATTGTAATTCAGCATGAATATAAAACTTCTCCTTAGTAAACTCAGTGCATGTAAGGAACTGCCATTTGATTTGGGAAGGGGGGGATTTTATGGGTGTCAGATTATTTATTAACATTTCAGTGAAGGACAGATTTTTTATTTTTATTTCCAAGATGATTGGGGACAGATTTGTTTTACTTCACTGGAAAAAAAGTTTGAGAAGGTGGTACATATTGAAATTGTTTGCATGTTGTTTGCTGGTCTGATAAAATTCAATCCTTTATTTTACTAGTGCTGTATAGTTAGAATATTTGTCAGGCAGCATGGGCATTTCTCTTGATAAGTCCGGTTTCCGTGTAAGATTTTCCGGTTAAAAACTTATTTTCCAATCAACCATAATTAAATTTTGTTTATGCCTATATATATTTATTTGATCTATTTTTTTTTCAGCCAACTTGATGGTACATTCTGGTATGGGACCATCCCATGTAGTAAATTTCCTCAGTACCTTTAACACCACATGGTGTCACCACATTGAAGAAAAAGAGATGTCGACCTCTATTGTGGAACCAGGCCAAGGAATTTTGTTGGATAGATAGAGACGAAGAATGCTAAACCGGACCAGTTGGAATGTAGTTTTGATGCTGGATAGCAGACCAAGGGGTCTTGCTGTTAGTATAAAAGTGATACTGGTAAAGTCATCATTTGAATTATGTTATGCCAAATTTGATAAGTGTAGAAAATTTGCAATTTATGGGGTGTAAACTTCTGCAAGTTATACATGTATATATACATGTTCACTGAAATGCTATATATAGGATATAGACATTTTGGGGAATATATTTTGATGTGGACTTCAGATAATAATGTTAAATTTTATATTTCAGATAATTTTAACAAGTAAGGTGTATAAGATATGTGAATGTGAGGTCCAGACCATTCATGCTGATAATGATTCAACTTCTGCAGCTCTACTCAAGAATGACTTTCCATCTCTTCCAAAAAAGCAGGACAAGAATCACTTGATGAAACTGAACTAACATATACTACTTTTCTTGTCAATTTCATATTATCTCTTGTTTGAGTGTTACATCTGAAGTGGTAACAGACACTCCACATATAGACTTTTATTAGCTCACCTGAGCCGAAGGCTCAAGTGAGCTTTTCTGATCACATTTTGTCTGGCGTCCGTCTGTCTGTCCATCTGTAAACTTTTCACATTTTCAACTTCTTCTCAAGCACCACTGGACCAATTTCAACCAAACTTGTCACAAAGCATCCTTGGGTGAAGGGGGTTCAAGTTTGTTCAAATGAAGGGCCACACTCTCTTTCAAGGGGAGATAATTAAGAATTAGTGAAATGGATAGCATCTTTAAAAAATCTTCTTCTCAAGAACCACAGGGCCAGGAAAGATGAAACTCATGTGGAAACATCCTCAGGTAGTGTAGATTCAAGTTTGTTCAAATCATGACCCCCGGGGTACGGCGGGGCCACAATGGAGGATCAAAGTTATACATAGAAACATATAGGAAAAATCTTCTTCTCAAGAAAAGCAAACCCATGATAAGTCATATTTATATGGAAGCATTCTCAGGTAGTGTAGATTCAAGTATGTTCAAATCATGACCCCCGGGGGTAGGGAGGGACCACAATGGAGAATAAAAGTTTTACATAGAAATATATAGGAAAAATATTTAAAAATTTTCTTCTCAAGAACAGCAAAGCCATGATGAGTCATATTTATATGGAAGCATCCTCGGGTAGTGTAGATTCAAGTTTGTTCAAATGATGACCCCTGGAATAGGGAAGAGCCACAATGAGGGATCAAATTTTTACAAAGGAATATATGGCAATTTTTTTTAAAAAAATCTTCTCATGTAAAACAGAGCCATTTGTTATATTGATATGGAAGCATCATCAGGTAGTTTAAAATTCAAGCCCCCCCCCCCCCTTAATCTTTTCAATTCTGAACTGATTTGTGCTTTTGCCTAGCAATTGTACTCAGGTGAGCGATGTGGCCCATGGGCCTCTTGTTCATGTATAATCTACTCTGTGAGTATTATGGCTGGTGTGGTAATAGACTGCTCCACTTTTTTAAAAATTTTTCATATATAATGTACTATGTGAGTGTTACATGTATGTCAGATGTGGTAATAGGCTGCTGCAGACTATTCTTTTTCAAAAAAATTTATGCATAATCTACTGTGCAAGTGTCATGTTGGGTTCAGTAATAGGCCGCTCAACAATAGACTATTCTTTATTATGCATAATCTACTATGTGAGTGAGTGTCATGTTCGTTAATCAGCTGCTCCACATATTCATGTAGACTCTTCATTTTCATTTAACATATAAAATGTCCTGCATGAAGTTTTAAGTCAAGTGCAGTAATGGGCTGTTCTTATGTTGTCATTTTGTTTTTAATTTTTGTATATGATTTATGTATGTCTCAGGTCAAGGTCCCTGTTACAATATATTTTCCTTAGACTAATGTTAGTATTCTACCTGCTTGTCTATGTTTGATTGAATGAAATTACTTTTTATTGCTGATCATATTTTTTCAATGATACTTTTTTTATTCTATGCAAAAGAATTATGTGTATTGTGCCATGTCAAATGTATTTTTTTTGTCTCAGTATGCATGGCCAAGATGTTTTCTTCCCAACAAAGGTGCATATATTTGACATGTTAATGCATGCAATTAGGGTGTTTTTGACAATGCAATGAAACAAAAATTAAATGCATATAATATGGGTGTTTTAAGTTCAGTATAATGGTCATATTTGTTTGATTGGGAGAAGTGAAATACTTTTATTCAATCCCTACTTCTATTCAAGTGGAATATAATTTAAAATTGACATACATGTAAAAATAAGGTTTTTGTACAACCAATTAAATATCTTACTGAGTCACATTCTTGGTTTGCATTTTTTTAGAAGCACACCAAATATGATTCTTATTTTCAATTCTGGAAAATGGGAGGGGTTGGATTTGGACCATTTGGTACCTCTAATTAATTAGCCCTGTGCCAATATTTTTGAGTGGGGAATAGTATTGGACAAATTTTTCACATAATAATATTATCAAAAAAATCTATTTGAGCGATTAATTTAAAGATTTTACATAAGAAAATATAGAATTTGTTTGCATGAAAGTAATGAAAATTGTTAAGGTTTTAGAGTTTTTGTATGTGTTTTCTTTTAAAATTACATTTCCATTCAAGTACTCTATTGTTGAAATATAAATTCATTTTTAATTTTGTTTAGGAATTATTTTAAAAATAAAGCACATATCTAACAATTAATTTTTTATGGATTATTTCAATATTGGATAAATTATGAGTTTTATAATGAGGGGAGAGGGGAGGTAACTCATCATGTAATTACTCTATGATTTCTCCTAATGTCATATAAATATTTTCATTAATCATTTATTAGTAATTGTTTTGTACTTCTTATTTATTTCTTCAATTGCTTTTTTTTCTAATTTACGTTGCAATTTTTTTAATAGCACTTCAATCATTATTCTTATTTTCTAGATGGGAAAACAAAGGGGGGGGGGGGGTAGTTGTGGACCATTTGGTACCTTTATTAGCCCTCAATGTGACCAAGAATTTTTGAGTGAAGAATGGTATTGGAAAAATCTTTCATATAATGATAAAAAATAAAAATTCTATTGGACAGAATTTTTTTTAGAATTTAAAAAGCGTCAAATTTGTGTGCATGAAAATAGTTAAATTTGTTGAATTTAAAACGTTTTATAAGCACTATTCTCTTAATTTATCTCTGTTCAGACAATCCATTGTTAAAATAAGTTTACAGTATCAAAATTGTTTTAAAATAATTTTAAATATTGAATGCATATTGCATAATAAATTTTTTATGGGTAATTTATATGTTGTATTATGATTTTTGGAGTGACTGGAAAGGGGAGGTAACTCATTACCCCCCCTGGTTCCGTAATTTACCCTCAATGCCATGTTCATATTTCCACTAAAGGTTCATTATACATTCCTTTGCACCATGTGAAAATTTCAGCAAAATCTATTGGGAGGTTTTTTTGGGGTCAGGTGTCCTTAGCTACCTTAAGTGGCTAATCAAACACACAGATCTTATCAATTTAATTTAATTTTTTTAAAGAAAATTTGAAATAGTATTTTCATGTCGTAAAATCAAATCATAAACATTCCCATTTATTCAGGCTTGATTGAGAATGTAAAAATTTCAGACGTTATTTCTTTTTTTGTGAATAAAAAAATCATTTTGAGAGTAACCAATCGTTCAAATGAATTGAAATTTGATAGTAATTTTCGTTAAATTGGATGAAACAAATGAGAACATTTTTTTTAAAAAGGAAATCAGAATTAACAATCATAAAATCATTAATATGTGTAATTAAAAGAAATATAAGTGAGACTTGCATTGTTTTTTTTTTTTTGTTTTTTTTTTTTTTTTTTTTTAGAAAAATATTGAGATTTTGATTAATTGTAGTTTTGATTTGAAATTGAAACCGCTTATAAAGGGTTTCATATCGTCTCTGTGTTTTATTATGAGGGAAATGAAAGTTAAAGTGTCAACTTGACGTAAGGCCTAAAAAAGAAGATAATTGTCAATATATATCTGCACAATTTGTAAATTGACAAATGAAATATCCTTTCTTTTATATCTTTAACAAATCTAGTTGCTGATAAAATTCTTTTTTTTTTTGAAATGAGATTGACGTTATGGGTATTAAGATTTTTTTTTTGGGACAAAAAAAAACCCATAGGTACTGTGTAAGTTTTTTCCTATTTAAATGTGGTGTCGTCGGAAGGTTCGAAAGCTTATTAAATTATTACCCCACAATTGATCTAAAGATAAAACACGTGCCCTTAACGCTAGATTTTCCCCTTTAGGACAATGTGAAAAACTGGACTCGGCAAGTTTAAAAGTACACCAATATTAGATTCCGGTGAAATTGAGATGCCTTATCTACGTACATGGCTTAAATCTTGATAACCCATCTATCAAAATGAACTTTCTATATGCTGCCGTCTTCGCCCTTTCAGGTAAAAAAATCATGTTAACTTTCTAAATTTACTGTGATTCATTTAAGGCACTGATATATATTTCACCATTTCTAAATGCATGTGTTGTCAAAAAAATCATACGCAGTGTGTTTTGCAATTTGGTGGTTTCTTCAATCACCGGTCTTGTGTTTAAGCCTTTAAACCCTAAATACTATTACATGTAGTGTTAAGTTAAAACATTTATGTCGTAACTGAATGCAGTATCAGCGTGCTTGTAGAAATGTACTAAATGTCAATATACAAATGTACGGAGGTCGGTTGGTGCCAGGTAGAAAAAATATTTTATCTGGCGGCCGCCAGATAACTTTCTGGCGGCCGTCAAATAATTATCTGGCGGCTGCCACATAAATAACTGGCGGCCGCCAAATAATTTTCTGGCGGCCGCCAGAAATTATGTGGCGGCCGCCAGATAACTTATCTGGCGGCCGCCAAATAACTTTCTGGCGGCCGCCAGATAATTATTTGGCGGCCGCCAGATAAAATATTTTTCTACCTGGCACCTACCGGCTTCCGTACAAATGATATTTAAACTTTGACAAATTATTCTGGATCATTCTGATCTGTTTTTGCTACATTCGGTCTTTCATAAGATGTTGGGAAATATTTGCTTCGTTAATTGTTTAAGAAATCATTGAAGTAATTGATTAGTGCTCATAGACTATTGTTCTTACTGTTGTTTTTATTTCAAAATTATGGCTGCATTAGATTCGTGAACATCATTAAAAAGATTCCTATTCCTTGTTGTATAGATTGGTGCACAAAAAAATTAAATAAACAGTTCTTGTAATCATTATTTGTCGAACAAATTAACGAATTTTGTTTCCATTAAATTCAATATATTGTTCATTCATAATATAACATCTGAATGTTTATAAAAAGATAAACATTGAAACTGGTATTTTCTAAACGTTTCGGATTGTTTATTTTTAATTGATATTGAATTGTGGATCTTTTTTGTTAAATTGCAGCATTGATAAATGCATTGTTTATTGGCGCCAACCAATTATCTGTATTACCTTGTATACTAATTGCAATATTGTTTTTCGTTATTAATTCCAGGGTTCTCAGCAGTGTTTGCAGTCTGTCCTATAGACTGGGCAGAGTTCAAAGGAGAATGTTTATACTTCGGTCATGACAGGAGATCATGGGTTGATGCTGAGGTCAGAATCATATCTCCAGTTTAAAATGATGTACATGTAATTTCAATCATCCTTGTGTGTAATGTAAAATACATTACCAATAACAACTTTAGATATTTAAGGAATGTTTTTAAGTTTTGTGTGAGCTATTGCTATGTATATCATACAGACTTGTCACGTCTGCAAATTTCATGAAGCGCTTATATTTACATGTTTAAAAGCACCCGAAATATATTCAATGTTTGAAGTTCATACTGCCCTATATCAACTCTGTAGCCTCATTGTCACGTAACTTTTGCGCGAGTTTCTCTAGCGTGTGTGTATACAAAAATGGCATTTAATTCAATTTCACAGATGGCCTAGCAGAGAAAACTTAGCAAATGTAAATATAACTTTATAATCTAAATTCATCAAACATTTTGAGAAATCCTATTTTCCTTTTAAGAACTTAAATTAGGACATTGTCGGTATATGTGTAATCATCCAGCAAGTGACTCGGTGAAATCTGTATATAAGCAAACTACACGTCATTTTTTGCCAAAAAACTTCTAAAATGTGTAACTGATAAATCTTTTCAAACAAGTCCAACTACAGTTAAATACAGTCAAACCTCGTTATCTCGAACTCCATGGGACAGAGAAAAAAGTTCGAGATATCCGAGGATTCGAGATATCCGGGGTAAAATACTTCAGGAATAAGGGATAGGGACTTCAAAATCACTGACATATCCATGGTATTCGAGATATCCGTGTTCGAGATACCGAAGTTCCACTGTATATGCATCTCCTTGAACACCGATATCTCGAATACCATGGATATGTCAAAGTGATTTGGAAATCCCTACCCTTATTCCTTACGTATTTTACCCTGGATATCTTGAATAACTCGAAGTTTCTTTTCGGTCATATTGTGTTCGAGATAACGAGGTTTGACCTTTACATAAGCATATATTTAGGGTATCTGTAGAATTACAAAGAAGTCTTTCATATTTCAAGAGAATGGACATAACATTATGAAAACATAGAGTAATTTAAACAGTAACAAAATGTTGTGTGCTTACAGGATTGATATAGGGGCTAAAAACAGAACATAAAACATTCCAGCATGGATCAAATGCTTGCACATACCCCATCATGATAATGATTATTTGTACATCACGTCGAATAATTAGAATGAGAAATGGTAATAGATTTTATTTGTAAAATTTGAATTTGTGGTTTTAAATCGCTTGAATGGTTCTCAAAAGCAGAAGAGTAGTACTTTTGAAGTTGTTTTGTATGTGTTTAATGTGCTTGCAATTTAAAACAAAAAAGATAAAGAAATGAAACCTGTGGCCGCATATCCCGAGCAATTATTGATATTTTAGTATAAAAATGAGACTCATGGCTATGGAATTTCAGTAATAAGTACATGTACAAGAGATATGACGTAATGGACATATTTTATTGACTATTGTCTAAATCAAAATTACAAATATAAGAAAAACTTTGTTTAATTTTATGTTCACATTTTATACTATTTACATTGTGGTCCAATATGCAATTTGCCAAATGAAAAAGTTGATGATAAGTGACAGTGATCGATTAAAAAGAAGTCTTCAAACTATACAAATCTGCGAAGAAGGCATACAACATACAACACGGCATTCAACACGCGTACGGACCGCCGGAAATTTTAAAAGTGGGTTCAGGTGCCCAGGTGGTGTAAATATCGTTTGTCATTGCGTCCCACCGACCGTAGGCTCTATGTATTTAACCGGTAGACGTAAGGCTTAACTGTTTGTCACATACGATATTTGAAGGGAAAAGTATTTATATTTGATTCTTTTTTTTTAAGTCGACAAAATATCCACAAACATCTTATTTAGTTCTTAATTTTATTTCTTTGAACAATTTTTATTTTAATTTTTTTCAGAATCAGTGTCGAACATTAGGGGCATATTTGGTGACGGATGATAATGCCGAGAAGCACACCTTTATTTCCAAAATCACAAGTGTTCTCCATTGTACGTAGCCATAAAGAATAACTTACAAAACAAACTACACTTATAATAGAAAATGATAGAAAACCTCAGCCTGCATGCGAGATCAGATAAACATAAATTGCTGTCTTAGGTCTTACATCCTGGTATGCTAAAACAACTGAATAACTATCTGTAACATGTGTACACTGACAAAGACATAATAATAAAGTGCACTGCTGGGATTCATGCTATTCCCATGCATGTTTGGAAGTACACCATTGCATATCTACAAGGTTATGTTTATTTTAGGCACATTGATTATCACAAAAAGTGCCCCTATCTTCTGTTATTATTTTAGGAATGACTCTAATTCTTGGCCAAATTATTCGAGTATAACCTGGTTTGGGTCAGCTTACGCTTTATAATCCGCGAAGCGGATTATAAAACAGCGTAAACTGACCCAAACCAGGTTATACTCGAATAATTTGGCCAAGAATTAGAGTCATTACTTATAATTTAATTTTAAAATCTTTAAATAACTATGGGTGTAAAATTTCGTTGCTTTTTATTAGTTTAAATTTGCCGCTCAATAATACAACCGTAGTAACGGAAGTAACGAAAGTGATGGGAAGCAAGGGGAGGTAAAAACTGATACATAGGCCTAGCAGCCTTGTTGTTTGTTTACATGTGGTAAGATCGAATTATTGTTTGAAGTTAAAGGTACATTTATTAAATCTGGAATTTTCCATGAATCCCGAGGACTGGAAATGAGAGGGTTGTATGGATACAGATGATTCAGCTGGTTGTCAGGGGGGGGGGGTGTCCCCATACCAAACCAGGTTATACAGAAATAATTTGTGTTCCTTTTTGGATATTAACCAATCAGAGGCTAGAATATAAACAAAATTAAATTATATTAAAATAAATATAATCGGTACCTACATTTTGGTTCTTCACACCATATATGACTTGAATACTTTTACCCATAAAATTCTAAAATGAGTTTACGAGGGTCCTTCAATAAATAATGCAAAAGGTCGCCTAAAAATAAGAAAGGTACATAGTACTAGTACATATTCTGAATAGTTTCAGTCTCCCACAGTATTCTCTATTACCTTTTATACATGTTTTAAGTCTTTGTGCCGATGACTGGAAAACCTCAGCATACTCATTTTAAAGGACACAACTTCTTCCCAATGATGCATCATCTTTTAATGTTTGATACTCATAGGTTTAAAAGTCTGCAAGAAATGATCGTGGCACGAAAAAAGCTAGCAGACGGACAGACATACGAAACGACAAACGGACACGGATGCGCAAAAGTCTATATGATAGAATGGCCTGTTTAAAGGCTTACGCATATTACTGGTACACGTTTTAGTATTCAGTACAATTCTACATATTTAAATTTGAATATAAGCTCAGAAAGTCTATAAACAATGCAATTTTTTTTTAAAAGAAATTGAAATTACTGCAATTTACATAAACGTAAAGATGAGTAATTGCATATATTTTTCTTATTTGTTTTACATATGATTGCTTACAGTTACAAATTACAGAGCATTCTAATGTTATTACTTTTTACAGCTTTACGACAGAGCGCCTTTTGGATCGGTGCCAGCGATTATACAATAGAGGGGTCGTTCCGTTGGTTGGAGACGGGGTTTCCAATAGGGAACTTCTCAGCGTGGGGCGCTGGTAAACCTACCAGGAATATCACAAATAACTGCGTGCGCATGTTTTACCAGGGGGACCAGTTTAAATGGGAGGATTACAATTGTAACGATCGGACAACGTATTTCATTTGTGAAAAACCGTACGTATATCATACCAGAAAGTAAAATTGCATAATTCGAGGAATCAGTTCTTCAAACGAACTTAATGCTTTTAATTGGTCACTTTAATACACCATTAAAAGTGGAAAGGGCTATAAATGGAAAATATATATTATAATCTATATAGGTTATATAATATAGTATGTTGTATTAAGTGACTGTATTGAATTTATTTGTCTATATTTTTTGGGGGATGTGGGGTATCTTTATGCTATAGTTTAATTATTGACACCAGAAAACGATTTATCTTCGTGAGTCGCAAATTAAGGTCTTCAATTCTAAAATGTAAAATGCATTATCAGCTTAATTCTTGATCGATTTTGGAGAAAACCCTTTTTAGACCATAATTGTGATTGAATTTTCATTAAACTTGTATTTTGAGCCTTGCGGAACCCATCGCCATTAATGTCAACATTGTATGGTATCTAGTTCCGTTGATACATGTAGCAATCTCCAAATTTCTTCTATATTAAGATCAAAATAAACAATCTTTTAATCATGTACATTTCAAAGTTTTGACCTTTTCAACTACATAATGTAATATTATTTCCCTCTGCGTTGATATTGTTGATACTGTTTATTTCCTTGAACTCGCACATACACAGTGTATGGTGAGGTTTTCTTTAAAGGGAAAAGTCGCCCTATTTGTATGGATTCCTTTACTTTCAATAATGTATTATTTACTTCTTTTTCTTTCAGAGCCCAAACAGCCATTTTGTAAAAATCCTTGAAATTTATCAAAAAAGTATAATAAAAGGTAAATGCGTGAGTATTTTGAAATAGAAAAGCTTGATATATTTTAAAGGCTAATTAAAAGGCTATCAATTAGATATTAAAATGCCATCCGAATGTTTTTTGAGAGACGCAAATGATTATTGCATTTTAACAAATTTACCTTTATGAAGTAAAAATTTAGGTTCTAATTAATTTCAGGTTAATCAATATTGTCTTGTCATGGAACAAAAGAAACATTTGAAATATGAACTAAAAATCTATGGTTACTCTATATTTCAAAATAAGTAAAGTTAATATCAATAAAATTATTAATTGCTTCCGGTGTAAGGAAACTTTAACCAATACTATTGACGGATTAAATTTAACATTGCCTCTGTGTGGGGTCAAAAAGAATAAGAAATGTTTAGAAGTGTTTATATTTATCGTATTGTATCCTGTTTTCGACCTTATTGTATTTCAGAATATGCAGATAATTTTTGCACGGACAGATTTTTCGGCTGCTAAACTTAGAAAAATGTACAAAAAATGCAAATGTTGCAAAGATAACTAAAATTAAATGATTTAAAAGATTGTTGACGTGATTTTTTTTTTATTAAAGCCCTTTTTGGCTGTTCATCAATCTAACCCGTAATCAATTTATACAACAGATTTTTGAATTTTTCCAAAAGAAAAAGCAGATCTTTGAAAAAAAGAAGACGCTTAAATATTGTATTAAAATTGTGAATCAAATTATTTTTTTCTTTCATATGACCTTATCTTTCAAAATTTCATTTAAGATGCCACTTTATTCCATTGAACTTTTGTCAAAGTGCAACTCCACTGAGGGGAATTTCAGCATATGAATAAAATTGTCTGTAACCTAGATATGGAGCTTGTTTAATATAAGAAAAATGGTTGTATTCTCCTTGTGTAAAATATCCTATAGATCTTCACAGTCCATACTGACTGGAAGTCCATACTTTACCTAGGTCGAAAATACAAGACACTTTTATTTCAGCACAGAAAATTGCATCCTCCTTATATGATGACATACAAAGTAAGTGAATGCAAAACTGTCATTAAGATTATATCATTTTATTGAAATACACACATATAGTCATAATGAGCTCTGATTTTTGTCATAATTTTACAAAGTTTACAAAAAATAAAAAAATAATGTCTTTATAGGTGGAAAATACAATAATTTTTTGTCTGAACAATACATGTATCACTTCTTCCCTCAATAAGTGACCAAAATCAGTCTGAAACACAGAGCGGTTTGAAAAACAGTTTGTTTGCAGTTGAACTATGTCTAGCTTAATTACTCTTTATTGTTACTTATTTCATAATTCCGTTGCAAAGGGTTGATTAAAGACAAAGACAGTGTGGGCAATATATGTGAAAATTCCCACTCTGTTACCCTCTTTGTGCGCTTGCTTACATCGGAGATAATATTTATGGTGCAGTATATGAAATCATTAATATTCCAACATATCGAGTAACATTTCAGAATTATTTCCTATTATCTATGTTTTAAATTGCAAGAACAGATTTCTAAATGCACCCAAGAGATTCAAATCTGAATCGTTCCCAAAGTACTTTGATAAAGAGGCCTACATATTGCATGTTTTACAAGGAGATGGTGTGAATGCAATTAAAACGATCTAAATTTGATATCCGTTCCATATTCACAATTCCGAATCGCAGAAAACGTTACATTTATTGTCCAAATGGGTAGCAATAAAAATGTTTAACTGCTCACCGGTATCAAAACTCTCTCTGTGTCTATGATTGGTTTGATCACTTGAGGGTGCAGAAGTATCCCACGCAGTGGACTTCAATTTATCAATGATAAATCACACCCGTCTGATATGAAAGTGGTGTCATTTTAGGCTATACAAAAAATGAGTTCCAGCTAGTTTTTGTTTCAGTATAAAAAGAAGTTTTGAATTCTTTTGTCTAAATAAAACCATTTTTTTCACAGATTTTCTTCTAACACTCCAATGCATCTGTATACAAATATACATTATCACTTTAGAAGGAAAGTAAAATATATGAATAAAAGCATAAAAACGCAATGCATAATAGTTGATGACCTCAAAAATTTCTTAAAATAATATTTTAATTATTTATAAAATACATCTTTTCATTTTGAGAATATAACTTGACCCGCCTCTCACTTTATACAAACTGCGTCAAATTTTGCTATATAAAATAACATTGACAAATACATCACAATCAGTGTCTTAAGCATATTGTTCTGTCAGATTTAACGAATTCTGCTTGATTGCAATTGTAAGTCTTTACTTAACAGAAGACAAACGATATTCACTACATTATTTCAATAATAAATCATAACTTGTCTTTATCGACTTCATTTCCTCTAATGTGAGGTTGGTCATGACATTTGTGTATATACAAGAGGATCATAAAGTGTTTTAGTTTTATGCTAATATCTGCTCACTCTCTTTCCAGTCCAGAAATTTCTGTGACAAATGCATCTCAACCATAACAAAAAGAGTTTGTGAACACATATTGTCTTTTTCTGATAGAATTGAAATTTTCGATGTCCAATTGTGATCCTCAAAAACGTTCTAGAATATACATGTATATTTTTATTCTCCCAAACATATTTATGAAAAAAGGTGAAGATAACGAACATTGATCGATCTCAAGAAGCCCATACACAATTCAAATATGTGAAATGGGCATAAAACACAGACATCCCTGGAAATTCCAGAGGTAGGTTTAGGTGCCTAGGAGGAGTACGCATCTAAGAATGTTCTCGGATAATACCAGCCAAATTGAGATAAATCTTTTTTAGGGTAAACAGGTATATTGTGGAGATGTGCGGAACAAAGACCGTTTTGTTCGCACATCCATGCACAAGACTATAAAAATGATGACGTTTTTGGTGAGCATATGATATGAAAAATCCTCCTCGGCGTTTCGTAACTTATTTAAGGAGATAACGATTTTTCATTAAATCATCATAAAACGTTTACCATATAATCTTAAGGATGTGTTCAAATTTAATGCTTACATTGGAAAGTCAACAATGAAGTAAAATAAATATAGTACAAGAACACTCAAATGCTAATTAATTTTTAACATTTTGATGCCAAGACAAGAACAAGCATACAATATTAGGAAAAAAGAGTTACAATAACTTTGTTTAGAATCCTTTACAAGTATAGACATTGTTCCATGCAAGGAAATTCACAGAGATAGGTTGATATTAATTTTGTGAGCTGATATTCTGATTGCTAGCCGCTAAAAATAACACCTAAACCATTCTGTATGTTATTGTTTTATCTTGAATCAAACGTTCGAATAATATATTGTGGTACCTCTAAAATACCCAATATTTCTTTAATTCATATGGGTTGATTTCATGACGGTCTTCAAATCGATGCAGAGGACAAATCTGATCTTTATCTTCTGATTGCAAATCCTTATCTCCTAAGAAATATCCTTGAATTTCCATTGCAAAAGGCATCGTTTTGTCTTCCTGACATCTAATGCCTCGAACAAAAATCAGTTTTTTGTGAAAGGTTCCTATAATTTCATTAAGATGTCTCTCTACTGTACTTTGGATCTGACGCGTTTCCCCCTCATCCAATGACTGTCCTTCTAGAGCATGAATAACCTGTAGCTGTATGGAATCTGCTGTTGCAGAAAGGATGACATTGTACTGTTCAACAGCAAACAAAGCAACATTTCTGTATAGGTGTGATATTCCATTACTTCTGGGAACATCCCAACCTCTCTCTTGCATACATGCAACAACAAGACGGAAAAAGAAGAAAAAAGGCAAAACATCGAATCGATAAAGAACTACTGATGATCTGCTCTCTGACTGTAGGATTATATTCTGAGTATCTCTTTTCATTTCTTTTCGATTCATGCATGGAACGTAGTGGGATTCCTCCCCAATAGCTACCAAACCCAGTCTTTCCATAAAATGCAGGACAGTATCTTTATGATGAAGTACATCATTCCTCCCGGAATCTTTCCAGATATCCTCCAGAAGTTGGTGTTTTAAATTCCCAGTTTCATAATATTCACCCCAATCGTCTAAAGTCGCAGCAATACCTTTAAAATGTAGCTTATCGGTGATTATATTTTTGAATGCATCGACAAACCACTGGACATCGATAATTACGGAATCTTTTAGTCCAGCCTCATTAAAATACAAAACTTTGCCAGAATCGTGATAAAATCGTAGCATATCCTCTATTCGTATAATTTTATTATCTTTTTCTGAAGCATTTATATCGATATTCCATGTC